GAGTAGATAAGTTTCTGAGACAACTTGTTTGTTTTAAATCAGGCATCTCATTTATAATTCAACACTCTTAAACTGATAAGTGTTATGGAGACAGACGTACCCGTGTATTTGTATAGTTTAGTGCTGCTTGTCTGAGCACACGTTATTTTTAATCAGTCAGCAACAGAACACTTAAATTGTTTTCAGTAGTTCTTGCAAAGATTAAAACACCCCCCAAGAGACGTTGCTCTGTAACCAGCCCCAGAATGACAAAAGATAGAAGTATCCGCCGCATCTTTCCCTTTATCCCATGTAGCAATATTCGCAATTCGGCTTTTGCTGCATCGTGCAGCCGGGCAGCAGGCAGGCAGGGTGGAACGGAGGTCGCTAGCCCGGGAATGGGGAACTTGCCCCAGTACGCGCACGCTGCATACGAGGGCACACATCAATGCCCTTCCTGCTCTCCAACAATAAAGCTGCATAGAATGTTTTAAATTGCAAGTGAACTTGAGACATTTTCAGGCAGGAGAAGTTAATTTTTTTTCAGAAAATGAAGAAAAATTTGGGGAGATACAACTGCAGTAGCTAGTCGTAACTAAGTCTCATCTCTTGTAATGCAGCTAGCGTGTAGAGAACTGCCAGATACATTTATAAGCTGGCATTTAGGTTGTCTGCTTTATTAAAGATGGAGCTGTACTTCACAATTCTGATCTACTTACGTTCTTCTCAAATATGAGGACTGGGAAAAATACTGAAACTGAGCAGGATTATTGTTCAGAAGTTTTGTTTTATTAACGTAGTGGGTTTAACTGTTAAAATACAGGTAAACCTCATCACTGAAAACTAGTGTAGTTACTTCCTTGTAGACTTCTTTTATAGAAGTGCTTCATACGGTCTGAGTCAAAATGAAACAGTCGAGAAAATATGTAACAGCTTTAAAAGAATTTTTTTCCTTCAGCTGGAAAAATACAAAACCAGTACTGAAAGGACCATAGTACCCAACATGAGGGTAACAGCAGCAGCTACTTGCGTGTGCGTTTGCAGAGTAGGTCCCTGCTACAGATGCTAGTTGAACAGCACACAAGGAGTATACACAGTTTTTCTTTTTTCGGGCTCTTCTTTACTATTGAGCAATCATCTAGAAGCTTGAACTGCCCATCCCACCCTTTATTCTATACGGAAAAAAATTGGTTTAGGAACAAAAGGGATACTGATAACTTACCTGGAAAGAACTTAGAGTTCTACTATATATACAGCTCTTAATATATAACTTTTTCCTGCTATATTAAACAAAAAATTTAAAAGCGAGTGGAACACAGATCATCTCAATATGGAATTTTAGCTGGAAGAATGAGGGTAGGAACAATATTTGCCAGTTTGTAGTTTAAAGCTGAGTGTATTTTAACTACAAAGGAGGTGGGAAAACTCAATTTGCCTACTAATCCAACAGCCAGAGAAGCGTAAGTTGTCTCCAGAGGTATAACAGCAAAGAACTTGTTATGAAATAAATACCCATGAAGCACTGTGTGTGCCAAACTGTGTAAGATCCACCTGAAAGTGTAAAATAAATGAAGAAAACATTCCAATGTGGTCCTTCACTTGAAATCCCCAATTTTCATAGCAAAAATGATCTGCTGAATGTGAAATTGCTTTTTTCATTATAACAACCTGACAGCCCCAGACACAGAGTACGTGAGAGAGAATTGCTGGTAACATACATGATATTACTCTGATAGAATTTTTGGTAAGTTTTAACTTGGAGAGCAAAGGCTGACTTCATCTTTTTCAAAAAAACCCCACCACTTTCCTAGTGTATGAATAAAGTAATTACCTACGTGATATTATAGAAGCAAACAGCTGCAATAACACTTTTGAAAACAGGAAAGTATCTTGTGCATGCAGCATCTGAGGGAATTAAATTATTTTTTTTAGTTGAATTATTGAATGGAAATATTTAAACTCCAGAATCTGTGGTTTGAGCTTTCCAGAAAAAGATCATGGGAAGCTACATATCTCCATCAGGAACATACAATTGACAATATGAGCCTTGCCCTGCTGTATAATGCTAGGTAAAAGAGCTCTGAGTCTGAATGATCAGTCAAATGTGGGTCCTAGGATTTGTCTTTTTTTTTTTTTTAACCTGTAAGAAATTAATAGCTGTGGAGAGCAAGATCCCTCAGATAAAGTGTTACCTATTTTTAGACCATCATTTTTACTGCTGCATACCATGCTTAACTCCAAATACATTAACACCAAGCAACTCACCACCTTCCTCTCTGGAAAATAACCTGGATAAGCTCATGGCACCTTTTGCTCAGAGTTCCAAAGGTAACCATCACACCATGTTGCCTGTAGACCTGCAGTCCTTAATTCCATTTCCTAAGCTTAGCATCACACCTTTCTTTTTCACATATATACACGCCCCTATGCTAGGTATTCAAACAAATACTGTATTGCTGTATTGTTGAAGCTCTATCTGTTCTGTCAGTATGAGCCGCTAACATGAAAATGTGACAAAGTGGGGAGATGATTAACTGTAACACAGCAGTAAAACAGTCACTCTCTCTGTATGTATCTCCGCACTGCACTTTGAGAAACCATGGTCAGGAGTGTATTTTCTGGTTAGAACTGGAGGAAAGACAACATCCATCCAGTGTGAGTTTCAATAAAAGGAGGAAGAGCTGTTAACCATACTGTTACGTTCTGCTGTTTAATTCTCCCTTTATTATGGTGTTCTCACTCTACTGGTGAAGAACATTTCCTTCACTAAAGCTCTGCTTATTGTATTTGTTCGCTCCTAGTAAGAGAAATCTGTTATTCCTCTGGCACAGGTAGGATGAGTAGCAGCAATACAGGTTTCCCTGCACGGCCTTGTTCATGTGCTGTAGCCTTATTTACAAGAATTCTTCCAGGGCTGGGATGTTTTTCCATTCTTGCTATTGAGATTCTGAAAGTTTGCTATGAAAAAATAGAATAAAATGAGCAAAGGAGCAGTAGGCCATGATGCAGGTGCAAGATACTCAACTTGGATAGTCAAATTCAAATCAATACCAAAAATTAATCCCACGGTATGCACCATAAACACTTAGTCTGCTGATATTTTCACATTTTAAAAAGTCTGCTAGTAAATGTCATGTTGATCCTCAGTACAATATGTGAAAATACTTTCTTCAAAACATGAAGAACATAAGATAGACAGGTGTTTTAAGCAGTAGATCTCAAAAGGTGTCATAAAGAGCTTGAGTCTCATCAGCTTCCCCACACTGAAAAGCTACAATGTGGAATATGGTCATACTCAAAGTTACCCAGAAGCTGAATGGTAGAACAAGGACTAGGATTGCATGCAGTCACAACAAAATCCTACCAGTGGGGAGACACTGATTCTTAAAAAAACAACCACCCAACCAAAAAAAAGACAACAAAAACCAGCAACTACTTGAAAACCTCTAAGTGAGAAGAATCGTTATTTTCATAAATGAGGGAGAACTGCGAGCATAATGGGCACAACTTTTATCCTACATGACTAGTATTTTTATAAAATCTTTATGCTAACGTGTATTTTACTGCATTCTTTGCGCTGCATCTTAACTGATTAGAATAAATAGTTTGTCTAGATTTAGAGCATCACTCTCAAATTGATGTTTAAGGGTTGCCTTAGGAACTTTAACATGATCTGCCACCCCAGTGCGCTGCCTCTGTTCTTTGTTTTCATAGTGCCTCATGTGCAGCGGTGATTTCTAATGCAATGTGCCCCTTGCCTGCTTTCTCTCATCAACCATTGCTGGGTTTTCACTTTTTTGTTGAACAGAAAATTCTCAACAGCAGCAGCAGACACAGAGGTGTTTGGTTACTGCAAAAAAAAGATGATCGCTTCCCAGCAGAGTAAGTTTTGGAACTACTGAAAAAAAAAAAACCAAAAACCAAAAAACAACCAACCCAAAAAAGGGTTTTTTGCAAAACCTGTCTTGCACGCACACTTGGCGGGCAGAATATTTTTAAACCCCCAGCTAAGTCTGACTTGCACAAACTGATTTGTTTTTTAAATAGCAAAACTGGTTTGTAACACATCACTAAATTTAAGTATTGCAAATTAATTACTGCAGATTTGTAGGAGATTTGGGGAGGTTTAAAATCAATGGTAGCAAATTGCAGTAATTACTTTTTTCAAGTAAGATAAAAATGCTGCCTTTTAACTCTGCCTTTTATGGCACCAGCAAACAGTAACACTATATTAAATTGTTACTGATGATCTGTGTGCAAAATTTCTGAAACATGAGAAGATATGTTCCTTTACTGCTCTTTTAAGCAACTAGCTGCAGGATCAGTCACCCTTAAAACTTTTGATTAATCTTAAGATCAATGGCTTGAAGAAAACCGTGACTAAGTTTTATTTGCTTTTGAATCAGATAAACAGTCGCTTTAGCTTTTAGCTAGATTATGGTTCTATAAAAGTATTCAGCAGTTACAGAAACTGCATCAAAATCAAGTCTCTCATATGATTGCATAATCTGCACATTCTCGATAAAACTTGAGGCTGAAGTTATTAAATACAGGAGGTGAATACTTTCCACAGTTGACTGAAAAATAATTTTTTAACATCTAAAAAATATACAAAAGTTAGCTGTCATTTATAATACAATATGAAAAATTATATTTTGTACGTAACATTCCATTCCTAATACTGAAGCTCAAAGAATCCTTTCATGTTATTTTTAACCAACCTCCTCCTCCATCAGGTTCTAAAAGGAAAAAATACTTAGAAAGTTCAGTACAGAGCGCTCTCTGAGCTCTGCCAGAACAATGCTTTAATTAAATATTGATACCCTTTATGAACAGCATACCAAAATGGTAGGTAAGCAGCCCTCATAACCTTGTGGGGCTTTCCTATAAATTGCCAGAGAAACACAAAATAAGGCACTGCTGTTCTTGTTTGTTAGATCTCTAACAACAGAAGCATGATCGGGTCTCTCACACTGCATAGTCATGGCTTTTCCTCACACTCCGAATACTTTACAGGGCGGTCAGTAACCTCCTCCTCTTCGTTCTATAGCAGGTAAGTGGAAATGTTTTCGGGAAGACTTAAGTGCCTTCTGTTTCTCAGACTGTTGAGGAAACAACAGGATTTTGAAATATGCTCTGTAGAACACATTTTGCTATTACATTTTACTGAGCAAGTTAGAGTCTATACCTTGATGTCTGATCCAATAAATCTAGCAGACTGTAACACGGGGGTTTCACCACTTTCCTTAGGTGCCCAGAAAACTGACTGCAACATTGGAGTCAATTTGGCTGCTCTGGAAAGATTTAATTTTGGTAATTCTCCACGAGGAGGTCCATGTTGTTTTGTTTTTTCCTGGTCTTTCCTAAGAGAATACTTTAAAAATAAAGAAATAAGATTCAATTTCTTTCTGAGAACATCTTAAGGAATAAAAATAGAAGAAAAAATCCAACTAATCAGGAAAAAAACAGCAAAAACTCAGCCAAACATTACTTCAGCTAATTCTTTTTTAAAAATTACTATCCTACTGGATGTTTCCTGAAGGAACTTCTTGCTAAGCTCACACTGATGGACCCTAGAACTAAATTGATGGAAAATGTGGCTGCTCCTATAGAAGAGCTCACACTTTCAAGGTTAAATGCACAACAGTTTGGTTTTTTTTTTGCTCCTGTAATTTGTTTTTTTGGGGGAAAAAATGTATTTGAGAGTTTTTCATGTAGTACTAAATTCCATCACACCTTACGGATATAGTAAGCTCTTAAAGAGTGAATATGTTGAGTATTTTTCACATGGCTTGAAGATAAAGTTTTAATTGGCTAGAATTTTTAATCAGATTTTAATTCTCTGAGTTCCAGTGTCAAATACAAGTCTAGGATTTTTTCAGATATCATCTAAATACAGGATAATTAAGTTAAAAAAAACATTATTTGTTCAAACTGTAGACTGAAGGCCTGAAAAGGCAAAAACACACTTTCTGCCTCTGCTACAACTTCATCTGTACAACTTTTCAACTCAAAAGGCAGACAACAAAAGAAGAGGATGAAGATATTTAATAAAAAAAAAAAAGTGGAACTGACCCTCTAAGTAATAGCAACTATGACAACTGTCTGCTGAAGGGATTATGTGGTATCACAGCTTCTAAATTCTAACTCATGATTTTTGGGGCTTGCGGGGTGTAGAACTGCATCAGACCCAATAAAGATCAGCGTTTAGGCAGACTGAATAAAACCCAGTAATCAGCTTAAGTAAAACATTTGTTTCCAGCTAACAAGCTCAGTGTCACAACTTACTTTCTCTAAATGGGCTGACTATTATTCCACCTAAATGTTACCTGTCTTTGACTTTCCCTTGAAATTTGCCACAAACGCAGAGGTACTTGCCCTGCTGTATTTCCTAGTAACCTTAATTTTTTATGCATGGCCAAAGCTTGTGTATCAGCTGCCCTAAAACATTTGGGGGGAAAAAGAAAAAAGAGAAAAACATCAGCTGTCTTTTAGGTGAAGTTCGGGCTCAACACAAAGAATTATGTTGACTGAATTACGTTCGCTGTCTTGCAAGCTAAGTACTAGCACTGTAAGCAAATTTCATTCACTTTAAATAATAAGCACACAGCGCTCCCTCCACTTTTTAATTTGAGTCTTCAAGATTGAAGCGATTTGAAGTCACTTGCCAGAGTTCTTGAAAATAAGGGTGCTGTAATGCTTGATGGGCAGCAATTCTCTCATCAGGATCATATTTTATCATTGCGTACAGGAGAGAGAAGCCTTTGGGAGACAAATTGTGCACAAGAAGAGGTATTCCTTTTCCTTTTTTAAAGGGGAAATCAAAACTCGCAATTCTTGACCTGTGTTGAGCAAGTTAAGAACAAACAGTTATTCATGCAGATTCAGACAGAATTAAAATTTACCGAAAAAAAATGATTCTAATCTGACTTAGGTAATCATTTATTAGGGACAAGTAAGTAATACTTGGAAGAAATGTTTTCTTTCCTATTAAGTTATATCATTGGCATTAAAGATACTATGGAAATAAAAGGCCAAATAAGATTGATACAGGCTCAGATTTCCTCTGCTCTGCCTGCAAGGATCACAAATGCGTGATTATCTCTGGCTTGGGATAGAAGACACTGCTCCTTGGTCAGCAGCTGTCACAACAGTATTAGATTTTTCCCTGAGCAGAAATTGCACACAGTTGTACAGTTATATTGTGGATATTTAAACAGTGAGATTAATAACTATGGGAGTGCATACTTACAGCTTTAACTTGTTGAGAGTTTTGTTAGCGGGAGTGCCTATAACGTCATGGATTTTTGAAATTTGGTCCAGCTCATTAGATCCAGGAAAGAGAGGCTGAAAACTGCAAGGTAAGAGATGGTATTAGCAGTAGAGAAGACACAATCGAACTAGTTTAAGTGGCACAGCTGCCACTTTAGTTAAAAATTTTTAATTTACAAGGAAGGTACATTTTAGAATTATTAATTTGTAGACAGTTTAATACCAACCAACAACTGAAGGACAACATGTGAGGAGCAGATTAATACAACTACCTGTTTAGATGGAAAGAGTAGTTTGGGTTATTAAACAGAAACCTGTAGTTGCCCCCTCCTTACAGGTTTGGGGTAAAATATGTAAAGAGAACATCCCTCCTGGTGAAAGGCAAGGTAAATGGGATTGTGTGTTCTACCCAGATGGCAATGTGTTTTCCTCATTTTAAGATAGCAGAGTCAAGCAGTCCCTCTTGTTGTGCATTCCTGAGCTTGATCCCCAGTTAATACAAAACTTGCATAGAGTCCTTGAAAACATTGTTATCAGTAGAACAATCTGACTTAACAAATTAGGTCCACTAACATTTATCTCTTGCACGTGTTGCTTTTTTCCATGTTAGCAGAGCATTTCCTGAGGATTATAATTTAAGAAACACTTCAGTAGCACCACATGATTCTTGTAATACATTTAGCCCCCTGTAGAAGGAGGAAACTTCTTTTAACTGTTTGCAAATTCAATCAAACAGCTGGCTGCACACTTCTCTGAATGTCTTTATAAAGCTTTGAGTAGAGGAAGGAGAGAAAAGAGATCTGATTCATGTTGTGCAGTTACATCAAGACAAGCAGTTGGGAGTAGCTTTTGTGTGAACTACAAAAATGTGCTGTCTCTAAATGTAAAGCTATAACTTCAGGAAGAACAACTGTGCAACAACTGTGCAATCCACAAAAAAACCCCATGATTTATAAGGAACAGAAAGAGGGAGACCAAGATTTGAAAAATAAGCATGGCTGAGTAAAAGACTAAAAATTCTTACACAATATGATGTAAAAGCTTACACAAATGTTCAACAGCAAACACTGCAAGATGCACTTAAAAAGAAACAAGCCCGTCCATAACTTCCTTTAGTTTGGCAAGGCTGTATCTTTTTTAATTCGGTAATTTCCAATAAACATCCCTCATTTCTCTCTGAACACATCTGTCAGGTCTCTGAAAATGTGCAGTGGTTGCAAAGAATAAAATTTGTTACATTAACCTAAAATTATGAGGAAATATCTTTAAGGCTTTTTGCCCCAAGAAAACTGAAGTTTGCAGCGTGTAATTTTCTTCCCAAACTTCAAAGCCCACCTGATTCAAATTGAAATGAAAAACCATGGCATTTTTAAAGCTTTTGGTCCCAATTTACTTTGCAAGAGAACTGTCACATTTGGGATTTTTCTCTTAACAGTTTTCTGACCAAAGTAGGACTGTTTCTACAAGTTATCAGGCAAAGCATAAGGGTTGTCATTTAATGTGATGATGATGGCAGCAGCTGCACTTGCCATGTGGAGGAGGAGGAAAGAAGCTAAGCAAATGTTATCACTCCTGGTTGCATATCAGAGACTGCAGTGTGGGAGGAGAATAAAGAAGAACTGCTGCTGTTGCTAGGGCACAAAGATATTGGACAAATACTCATGGTGGTTATTTTTCCTCTTTTCTTGAAGACCAGTGACACTTTTTTTGAGTTATAGTTTCATCATCATCGAAAAGCTTAAAGGACTATAATCCGAGTTTTCCTGAACTCTTCCTTCATCAGAATCTGACTTCAAAACATTCCAGGACATAAGGTCCTGGTACAAGTGTGTTAAACACACTATAGTAGAAATCAAAGTAGCAAATCAGAGGGAGTGTCTTCTCTAATCTCCTCTGTTTTTGCAGAACAGTAAGTCAAAAAACAAGGGAAAAGTTTTACCATCAAGTGCATTAACAAGATTGAGCATAGTTAGTGATGCTCATGACAGGAAATGAGCCATTCAGAGATAAAGCAGAGAAAACACATTTTTACCAAACTCAAATATGAAGCCGGTGGAAAAAAATCCTAAAACCAAAACAAACACCAGAACAACCACCTGGTCAAAAACGTTATTTTACTTGTAAATAATGTTTGTTGGTACTATGTTCTCTTGAACATCCCACTGCTTTATTACTAATCTGCCATAGGGTGAACAGAGTGCCAGACAAGACAGGATTAATGCTGCATGAACCATGCAGACTATATTACCCATACCATGTGCTCCTTATTACCTTTGATTTGCTTGATTAATAATAAGCAAGACCCTCCACTGAACACTGTACCTTGTGATTTCATAGAAAACACAGCCAGCACTCCACATATCAATTTTATAACTATAGTAGCCATTTGTAAGTAAGCATTCAGGTGCCCGGTACCAGCGTGTAGAGATATATTCTGTATGTGGCTGCTTAGAATAGATACTCCTACAAGATCCAAAATCTCCTAACTTCAGGGTATTCTGCTGCAAAAATAAAGTATTTTGACAAATTAGAAACACTGAAATATTCATGCAAAGATTTTCCTTAAATGTGCGAAGTAGTCATCATAAAAGAAATCACAGACTACTTTAAGAATAAACTTTCAGAAATCCCAGGGGTGGTATTATAGCAGAAAAGCTGCATTTAAATAGCACGTAGCTCCATGCTTGAAAATATCTGTGTCCCGTAATATGGGCAAATACCATTCTGTACATCATTAAAAGAAAGAGCTAAGAGTTAATTGAAAAGCATATGGACTACTACTGAAAGGAAGACTAAATAGGACATCTGGATTAAGTTATTTTCTTAGAGCTCTTGTGTTTAGCAGTGATATAATAGGTGGCTTTGGCTTCTCTTTGTAACAGCATCTCCTGTACACTTCTAAGACTTAGAAGAAAAAATTATCTCCAGAAAATAAAACATCATAAACTGAGTTTTGAAATCCTTCCTTTTCAGACATTAACAAAAGAACACTCTGAAACTGTCGTAATAGATTTCAATGAAGAAATCTCCTGAAAGCTTTTGCTCTCTTTTGTATGATTAACTTCCATTGAACATAGGAATTGAATGTAGAAACAAAGTGCTCCAGAACTGAACCCTATCACTTGTTTCTGGGTTAACACAGAAAGGGAAATATAAATTAATAGAGGACAAAGAGCAGGTTTTTAGATTGGAACACACGCAGGCTGTAACACATCTGATTCATGTAAGGTCTTACTCAATGACAAACTTGCTTGTTCATTCTTCTAGATCAGGAATATGGTATTAGAAGTAGCTGTCTCTATATTTTTTAAAAACTGTACTTTTAATTCATGAAGCAGCATTATCTTCTCAGAGTAAAGAGAAAAACACTGATATACTTCACTTTCAGTTAAATATTCTCACATAAAATTAATTACCTTTATTAATATGTTTTCTGGTTTCACATCTCTGTGAAATATCCCATTTCTGTACCAACATAAACACACCAGAGAGAAGAGTTCAGTAAAATGATAAACGCTATCAGTGCTTCCAGTTATTTGTAAAACAAACAAACAAACAAAAACAACTTAAAGAAACTAACACTTTGTTCAAACTTATCAACAGCATAGTTTAAAAAAATTGCATTTTGCCACCAGCAGCTTACAGGTATGGGTATGGGGAATGGGCAAGTCCAGGAAGGGGACTTTCTGCTTTTGCTCTCATCGGGATTACCAAAAGTCTGCAAAGGCCACCCCCTCCCAGGGGGGCTCCACTACAGCTCCTCTGGAGCGTTGGCAGCAGCCTGGGCTGCCCACTTGCTGCCTCCCAGGGCTCTGCTACAGGCAAAGGTGCCTCTGGGCAATGGCCTTTTTTCCCCCTGCAGCAGTCTGCTGACCCCGTCAATTGTATGTCTCTGCTTAGAGACGACCCTGAAATAAATGTACTATACATTTACTGTAAAGCTCTTGCTGAACCAGGTCTCTTACCTATGTATGTAATCAAGAGATTTGCATAACTGGTACATGTAGTTCTTAATTTTTTTCTCAGGTAATGGTTTTCTCCTTCCTAGAATTAAATTTCAAGTTGTACAAGTCCTTTTTAGCAAACAACAGAATACAAAAAGAAATTACTCTTCAGCTTCCAATAGTGCATCGATACTACCTTTTTCAATTATACTATTTGTGTCAGGCTTTGTAATCCATTTTCCACTCTACTTCAGACATAATTTAGAATTTCAGTATGCACCAGAATAGCTCAGCTAACAACTGTCAATTCAGTAGTCTGTAATCTACCTTAGCTTTTACTGCATCTTTTTCTTGCAGTATCTGTTTCCCCAAGTTCTAACAGAACTGCAGTATTTCACTTCTAAACATTAATTTCCTCTCTAAACAAAGTAACTGTCCTTAAGGTTCAAGATCCATATCAATCACCTCAAATTACTGCAATGCTTAAATGACTGTGATTCACATTTGACTTACAAATTAAAGGTTAACCAATGTAGTTTAGCTTGCTCTTGCCATTGCACAATAACGATAGTTATAAATTTTATCTATTTTTCAGAGCCGTTCAGCAACTACTCAGTTTTTTTCTTTTATAGGCTCCAAAGGCCTTTTAATCTTGCTGTAATGCCTTTATGTAACACTGCAATGTCATCAACGGAGGCAGAAATGATCACATTTTTGAAAAACAAAGCAGGTACTGATCTGCCTGATGACAGTAGTATGAGTAATTGGCTGGGGAGGAGGAGGGAGATTATCAGGACACTAACTCATTGAGGCCTCGAGTCCTAGCAGCCAGCGGGACTTGTGTTCCTAACTGATTACAGTACTCCTCCAGCCAGCCACATAATCCACTGAGCAGGATTAGATAACAAAGCACTTGAAACGGAGTACCATTTACATCAGGAATTGTAGTATTATTACCCCAGTAGAGATAACTGGTGTTTTCAACATCAGGATTTTTGTCATTTCTAGGAGAACAGATTTTATAAAATGCAGCTATTCAAACCAACTCGGATTATTACTAGTATTTAAAAAATCGGGCCCTCACAAAAAGAAGTCACACTGACTTGTTTTTTCATTACATGTCACTAGTAAAACCTGGAGCAGATGCTCTTCTACTTCCAGATTTATCATTAGAGAAATCTTATTTGGAAGTAATGACGAAGTGAATCGTAAGGTGGTGGCACTTAAGGCTACAATCGTTTTTGCTTGAGGCATCTCCCCCACCTCTCTAAGCCATATTTTTTTCGTCGCTTTAAATGACCAAACTGTTCTTGATTAAACAAAAGGCAAGACTGTTTTTCAATTATTAAATTATTTGTGATACCACTATAAATTAATAGCAAGAGGATTATGACTTTGTGTAAAGATAAATAGCCTTGTCTTGATCGATAACATGAATCTGTCAGTTTATTAAGGAAAAAAACCAAAGGGATGAACTTCCCACATTAGTAGCATTATAGCGAACTGTGTTCCTAATTACAGAAGTGTCTCTCTGCATACACCTTGTTAAATTAGAAATTCACTTTCACTCAACCCCAGGTTCAAGTTTTTCTTCACTACAAAACTTCATACAAACCATGCTTGCCTCTAAATTTTTCTAACTTAGAGCTTTTTGAATTGTTCTGCACCTTTATTAAACTTAATTTTGCAAGATTCAGAGTAGTCAGAAAATGACAAGCATTCGCATTACTATACACTGTAGAAATTTACAAAGGCTACAAATCATCTGAAAGGTAACTACTTTTGTACACTCTGAAAACTGTTTTGTGACAGAGCATTGCTAGTAACACAATTTAATTGTTCTACAAATTAGTAATGCACTCCTTCAGATCGCAATGCTGAAAATTCAGAAGGACCTCCTTCTACTTGCCATTATTAATTAGATATCCTGAGTCAGTAAGTGTTCTGGCTCAGAACTAAAGATTAATTTTCCAACTGAATTACGTACTTGGAATTTTTGCTATATTTATTGTTTGAAATCACTGCCACATGTTACATCTCTTGACTTTACAATAAGCCACAAGTAGAGTTGTTTGGGGGATAAAACAAATAAAAAGCTAGTTCTGCCCCATAGGAAATTGTGGTGTTGACATGTCTACTTTGGACTCCCAAAATTAATTTCTGAAAAATGCAAAATGCTTGACACAAGTGAAATCCTTTCATACTTCAAAATATCAAAATACTTCTTTTATTTATTATAATCTCCAGAGGAATCTGTTGTTCATTTTCCCATTTTATTCTATGATTTGACAAGCTCCACCCCATGCGCCACCACCTTGTACAAGGTGAAAAAAAGACATCGTATCATGGGAAACACAGGCCAGACACAAAATCGAGACCATAAAGAAGAACCAGCAATTTATAGAGGTTCAGGTAGACCCAGATTAATGTTCAGATAACCTCTAACTGCAGCATTCCAGATTACAATTGAACACAGATTTCATTTTTAACTGATTCACCATGCCATAAAAAAGGTTTTTACAACTAAGTGGCAGGAGAACAATCTTCTTATGGAAAACCTGAATTTGATAAAAACTGTATTTTAAAATAAAAAAAACCGACATAGCAGAACATAATGAAACTATTAGACTAATTTCCATCTGTATACAGTGCTTACTATAGCAAGCTTTTTCACATGAAAAGAATAAGAGAAACACCGATAAATGTAACCAAACGAAAGCAAATATTCTGGCGTACAAAAAAGGCAGTTAAAGAACAAACCTAAACATTCTAATTTTTCATAACTGAAGTACAGTATCTTTCCTAGAAGAAGTAGATGCAGGATTGTTTTAATGCACTGGAGTAACTTACTATCAATTAGGACTCCTTCCTATATGCCATTACTCTGACTTCACAACTTAACAAATTTATGCTAGAAAAATAAAATGTCTTATTAAAAGCAGCAAATATTCATGTCTGCTTCAATGATCAGCAAATAACTGTATTTTATTCTCAATTTTTTATCTATGTCAGGAACAGGACTACTACTTTTGTTAGAGATCTGCATACTCAGTGTCACCAATGCAATGTTTGGGAGCAAGTCTTTTATCTATTCTATTACGCTGAATGACAGTTGCATGCTCAGTTGTTTAAATAAATCTCCCAACTGTTAAGACATTACAAATTATTAATTATTCAGAAAAAAATCCTCTTTTAATATTGAATTATAAGTAACTGCCCCTTCATTCGCTGTATCCAACTCCTTTGGTGTCTATATGAGACCTGGTATTAAATCAGCTTTTGTTCTAAACTTTTTTTGTAGGAACTCTTCCTTAAGCTTTTACAGTCTCCCACCTGCTTCGACAAACAACTCCAGAATTTTTAAATATAGGAGGTCTCAGGGAGCAATGTTATTTATAGAGAAATCTTAGTAAAAGGCATTTTTACTAGACATAAAACCTAAAAATCGTTATTCATTGATTCAGTAGCTTTTGAAACAAATGGGAATAATTTTCCTGTTACATCATTACAGTCCTGACCTAACAAAGAACCTATCTAACTTGCATTTCTTGTTACATAAAGCAATTATTTTGTGTCTTGCAGTCAAGGTTGGTTGTTTTCATGTAAAGTTTGACTGTAGAAATAGATGGCCATTGACCTGACTCATTAGAAACCTTCTGCGTGCATCCAGTGCACTGGAAAGAAAGAAAGAGTAAAGCAGTGCAGCACAAAATTTCCTTATGAGTTTTATAATACGTAACGGTGAACAACCAAGTGAAAAAATAATTAATTCCACTTTGTGATCTACACAAGGAAGATTTGTGTGTTTCTTAAGCATATGCTACATACCTTTTATCAGCTCATAAATATTCATGTCCATAAGTTCACATATCAGTGAAAGGGAGCCAGCTTTTTTATCACTGAAGAAACAAATATAAGGAGATTTTAAGCTAGAAATAAAATTTAGATGTTGATTTGTACACAGCATAGAAAAAAAGTACTTAGTTTAACCAGTATCAAAATGGACATTTTCATTTTTATTTGATACTTTCTCATAAAAGTTTTTCAACTTAGGGTCTGAAATATCATAGTTTTATTTTATATTATCCAAAATGTCTGTTGCAAAAGTTAACTGAAGTTACTTGAACGCATGTTTTCTGGGCATATCACACTGTTCAGTATCAAGCAATTTCCAGTAAATTAACTGATACAATCTTACAATAAAAGATATGTAGGCCTATATATGAAAATACTTTCTAGTTAGGTCACCAGTAGTGTTCTATTGCATGGAAAGGGGTATCTGATTGGAATCTGTGTTTTGCTGACAACAGCAATTTTAAGTATTATCACAATATGATAATACATCTGAGACTATTTTCCATTTCACTGCTCTGCAGAGGCAGACATCTGTAGGTCGTCGTCATCTTTTTTTCTTTCTTTTTTTTTTTCCTTCAGATAATTGCATTAAAGTATATCCCCTCTGCAATGTTCCATTAACCCAGACAGCAAAAGGTTGAGGGTACAGTCTGCAATTCAGTTGCAGACTGTGAAAGAGCTAGGCGAGCCGGCTGGCCATCTGGATTACACTTCGTTAACAACAGGGCAGCTGAAGCTGAGAATTCCAGAAAGCTAAGCTGCTGACACGGTTACTGGCTTTCCATATATTTGTAGAAAACGGGCCTGTAAATAACAGTATAGTACCAGAGCTCTGAGCAGAGGAATAAGACAGCCTGAAGAGCAAGAAAAAAATATTTTAGAGCACTCAACAAGTTTTGCGTCAAATATTTGAGTAATGAAGTCTGCTGTTGCATAGTGATGAACTGTAACGCACAGTAATGTAATAAATGCTGTCATAAAACCTCATCTCTTCATGAGACAGAACATGTCCCCGGAAGACACTTATGTGCCTAATGAGGCTAAGGAACCCAACTTCATCACTGACTGATCTCTTTCCAAATTCATAGCCCGGCTGCTGCCTAATTCAGAGATCTAAACTTCTATTATTTGCAAAGGGGTGTCTGTAAGGTTGCCTACAAAACGATACTGCCACACAGTTTGCCTGGATCCCTAATTCAAACTGAGAAGTCAAACCAAGATCCTTGAAGTACCAGAGCCTATTCCAGCAGACAAACTCTGAGTGTGCCTAACCAAAATACTGTCTCCAGCAGACATGATGTTGTGTGGTTAAAGCACTCATTGGGTATGGAATGTAGGTTGAAATCATCAGCAAGTATTATATATTATGATATGAAGCTTAGCTATGCTTAAAATATATGTCTGTAATTTTAATACTGATGTTGAAATATTTTTGGTCTGCTGCAAAAGCACCAGAGAAAGTGAGAGCTACATCAGATTTTCTTAACATAAAAGGCATAAAGACTTCAGAATTGGACAAATTTGTTGTTTTTTTCTTTCTATTGGAATAAAAAGCTGGTTAAGTGCCTACAGGTTACCTCTCTAGACCCAAAAGTTATTGGATATCATTCAAATAAATGAATAAGGAAGAAAGAAATGAATGCACCATACTTACAAAACAACTTCATGTAACATAAGGATATTAGGATGTGGACTCAGCCTCCTTAGCGCTCGTATTTCTCTCAGATTATTCACTTGTTCCATACTAAAGTTGAATTAGAAAGAAAAGAGGAGGACTGACTTGCAATCAGGGACTGGATTAGAATTGTCTTTCTTCCCTGCCATGAGACTGCGTCCTGACAGACTGTCAGAACCTACTCCACTTTAGTTTGTAATTGAACTTTCAAATGCAGGACCTGATAAATTGTTTGCCTGCTTTGTTTCTTCATTGAGCAAATCAGTGATCAGGAGAATGGCTTTATTCCTCCTTGCAGCCTGGAGCAGCTGGACTTACCCAAACAAGATAAGTAGCAACTTACTGTGCTCCAGACATCAGTTACCACGCCAAGGAGCTATCGGGGAGGAATTTTGTGTTGCATAATAGTATGTGTGATACTGTTTATTCTGCACTGGTGTAGTATACATTCCAGCTCCTGCTCAGCATGATGCTGGAAGTGACAATCTAGATTTGCCAAATTTATCATTTAAAATTAACTTTTGATGCTAACCTCTATTGTCTATGAACAATAGACACTATTCAACTATTCTTTCATTACTCCTAGATTGCCCTCCTAGATTTTAATAAACTACATGCTACGGAAACTCTTGGGAGGAAGCAGGAAACAAAGAGCTTTGCACACTATTTAGTGGATCAGAACAGGACACATACACCTTCTCACAGTCAGACTTAAAGCTAAACACCAAAACAATATTTTCCAATTTGAAACTAGGACAAATACCTTGTATGGGCAGGTTCTGTTTAAAACACTGTTATCTGTTGCTAAAAGAGTTCATATCATCAAAAGAATTTGTCGGTCAATTTATCAAAATCTTAAAGGTCTAAAAGATGTTTTAAACATGCCACATGAAAAGAAGAGTTGTTATGTCCTATGTTATGCCCTACCACTGAATTGTATACCATCTCCCCTTGATGTAGTTAAGCAGTTAGTTTAAATACTCTTCTGATCACAAATTGGACAATTTGGTCACTTGTAGGTAATTTATACATAGACCAACAGTTCTCTAACAACACAATACAGAAGCCACTTTACTTGAAGATATTCGAGTATGATTTTTTTTTAACTTACAGTAATTTTTTCAGAGCTCCACTTTTCCTTAGTCTTTGAAGCTCTGAGTTACATTGTGAAATCTCAGCTAAGAGCAAAATGTCCCATGTTACTTCATATGTACAGATGTGTTGCTTCCACTGATTTCACTAGGAAATTAATATATTTAACTGAGAATACAAAGTCAGTGACCCAAGATGCATTGTTTGGCACTTATACATTTCGAGAAGAATGTAAAATCTATGTCTACTTCCACATAGCCCTCTCTATTTACCTAACTGATAAAAAGCAGCTATTTTGTGACCAAATAACGTCTTGGTCATGAATGTAGTTAAATATAAATGCACATATCAAGTATAACTAATGCTATAGATGGATGAAAGATAAATACAGTGTTTTTAACTTGCATTAAAACAGTATTTAAGTAAGACTGAAAAAAGTATTGTCCAGGAGGAGGACCGACACATTTCCTCCTCCTCCTCCTGCGATTATTTACAGCAAAAAGAAAACCAGCACAAGTATATTCAGTGCTTTTGGAAAGGCAGAAATCAACTATATAGTCCTCATTCTTCTTGTTTCACTTTCAACCCAGTGGCCAAGCAGCATATAATATGGTGGATGGCATCAATTAAAGTACTCAAGGAAATAACCCCAGTGCCAAATGGGAAGGCCCTGCATAATCAGCAGCAGAGGTCCCTTTCTGTACTCTATGGAAACCCTTGTAATACATGCGTATTCAAAAAACTTCACTTAGTCTTAATTTCACATTCCCCCACTGAATTTAAATAAGATCTTCTGTAGTACTGATTATGCATACCTTTCAAAATGTTGCTTCATGTGTTTACATGCATAGTACTTTCCATCCCTAAGACTCAGTGTCTTCAGAACATCAGAAAATGTTCCCTCTCCTATCTTACCAACTGGTTTATAGTCTAAAAACAAAAATATACAGTTTCAGTATGTTTAAAATAGAAATTATTATGAATACTGCATATTAAGCCATACTTGATTTGTTAAATTCTAACAGAAAAATTTTAAACAAAAGGGTTTTTTTTTTTACACATAATATATATACATATCTTAGACAATAAACTACTGCCTCCTTGCTCAGAGACATGATGCCTCTGCACACAGCACTTCATACCTTTTTTCTGCTTCAGCACATTAGAAACTCATGTCTGAACTTATACTTTGTTTCTTTCACCGACCCCTCCCCCTTTACTTACATTCTACCAAAAACATAAAATTATCTTGAAAAGCAAGCGTATCTTGTCATTGTTCCAACATGGTTTTTTGGTTCTTTGGGGGTTGGGGTGTTGTTTGTTTTGGGTTGGGTTTTTTTTGTTTGTTTGAAGTGGACCAAACACAATAATATGAAAATCAGTCAATTCGAGTTCTGCAGAATTTTGAGAGATGAAGCAGATAACATAAGGGTTATAAAGAAAGCTTTATTTATATTGATTTCTGAGTCTTTTCCTAATTTCCTTCAGAATTGACATTTCTCCTCCTTTATTCTCCTTCAGCTTTGTCATTAACTGTTCCTTACCAATCCCACTGCCTGCTTCCCTTCACCCACTTTGTCCTCCTGTTTCCCTTTATTTTTAGCACCTACAGATTCTATCCTTGATAATTCTTCCAGTAATTTCATCTGAGCAAAACCCAATTTGGTTAGCTTTATGCTGCTGTTTCTTAAATGATAAGACTATGTCAAAAGCAAGATCCAAACCCAGTCATTTTGATGGAGGCAGAGCGGGAAACCTCTTTTATCATATTCAACCCTTTATGGGAGTCAGAATAACCACAGGAGTCTTAAGGTATGTTGATAGCAGTAAATTCAACAAGGTGTAGTTGCCTGTATTAGTTACTGTGACAACAGTCTCTGGCATGGATTTGGCCTGTGACAACTACCACTCTTCTAGGCACCTTCCCAGCCTGATGTGAGGACTCCTTCTAAGGTTATTCCTCTAGCAGTTTCTGTCCTACCGCTTTGTTTTGGAAGATAAGAGAATTTACTAGCATAGATGTGGGCCATTTCATGCCAGTTGCTCTTTGTGTCCAAGAAGATTTCCAGATATGTTTAATTCACAAGGATAAATACAGCCTCACAGTGGAAAAAGCCTGCCAAGAAATTTTGCGGAGGGAAAAGTTCCTTAGGCAGGGACATTCTAATGCTGTCTTACAACTAGCAATCAATTTGTGTTGTCTTCATCACTTTTCTCCTCCCCAACTTTCACACTTATGCCTGTTAGGAAAAAAAAAGAAAAAAAAAGGTCTTCCTTGTGATTTAAATGCTTATATTTCAATTAAACCTTTCCCTTGCAAATCCCTTTCTCCAATATAGTAGCAGCACTTCTGTGAGAATTGTCAGTTGCTCTTCTCATTTTTATCACCTGCTGCTTAGGTTTTCTGATCATTATCCATCCCGCTGGATCATAAACTAACTAACTAGGCCATCAAAATTTGAAAAATAGGAAAAAGCGGTGCAATTTAAAATCAATGACACCATCTAATGCACTCCATACAGACAATTTAGCTATAGAACGATTTTAAAAGCAGAAACAGAATTTGAAAATCATTAGAGGTAAAAGAGGCAATTTCTAACGGAGACTCCAAAATAGTGAAGAAACCGTGAGATTGTTTAATTCAGGTGGCTGTTATTTGATAACTGGTCAATTAGTGCTTTAAGCAAGGTGATCCCTAGCCTTTGGCGTTCACTAAGCAACACAACCGAGCAAGTAACGTACTTTGTCAGCAAAAATCATACTTTGCACCGTGCTTTCTACCCCCGCCTTAAGTTTTAATTTCCTATCTAAATAGCTAAATATAAGATGGACATAGTAAATTCAAAATACTTAAACTCCGCTCTTACAGGATTACGAAGAAAAAGTTTCAATGGATTTTGTTGGTAGCAACTGATACCCTCCAATTTGTCAGATACACACTGGCTACCTTATATGTTCATATAAGGTCAGAGCCAGTCCCTAAGGAAAAAAAAACCCAAGGCAGATACAAAAAACCCTAGTTGGTTGTTGACCTACTCTTTGATTCTAATAACTGTTTTGTAAATGCAAGTAATTGATTCTCTGGCACAAAAAAAAAAATATTCAAATCATATGATCTGAAAATAAGATATGAAGATATGAATATCTATGGTATACCAGCCATAGCTGTTAATGAACCAAGGCACTTAAGCAGAGAAACACAGGGAAAGCATTATTGTACAAATTTATTGAAAATATTTTTAGATATATAAAGAAGACAGATAGTATATGTTTATATAATTTTGTTTTGTTTGTATTTTCTTCTATACATGTATTTTTCTCCTACAAGAGAAGTCCAGATGACAGTGGAGGGCTCAAAATAATGTGATTTTTTAAAAAATTTTAAACTGAAGAGTTCTATTAGCATAAGAAGGTAAAGAAGACAGATAGTATGTTTATATAATTTGGTTTTGTTTGTATTTTCTTCTGTACATGTATTTTGCTCAAAATAATGTGATTTTTAAAAAAATTTTCAACTGAAGAGTTCTATTAGCATAAGAAGAGTTAATTCTTTACATACTTTAAAACATTCTTACAGCACTAAAGATTTTTTTTCATTTCAGCATGTAAGGTTTGTTATTTTAATTTTTTACAATAGAATGCTATACATGCAAAATCAAAAACTCACGCATAACAAACAACTGAGGCTTTAACCTGGCACTTAAGAGACAGCTGTCCAGTGAAAAGAATGACAGCAAATACCTGAATAATTTCAACTGATTGAATAAAGTGCAGAATCAGGGCTGAAAATTGCATTATTTGAGATGTCTCTTTGATGCATGAAATCAATGTGTAAATTCTCAACAAAACAGATCACTGAAAATGAGAGCGCTTTTCTCCTAGGGTGAAAATGAGAACGATCATGTGACAAGTTAGTTACCATTTAATGAGAAGCTGAGAAGAACTCAGACATTTTAAGAATAACAACATAAAAGTTTATATAGAATAAGAAGAAATAAAATTTAGACTTCAAATGTACTAACAATTTAACACAAATTTGAATTTGCATCCACAAGCCAAAATTTCCAGAGATTCTTAAAAATCCACTTCAGCACCAAATAACTGATTCTTCAAAAGAAAACCATCAAAGCAACAGACTTCAAACACACACTGAAAGAGAACAGTCAGGTCAAAGCATGTCAATTTTAAGCTATGAAACTTACTACAGCTACAAAACAAAACTAATTACTGGTTAGTTTACCTGAATTTGTGGTACTCAAAGATTAACAATAACAGAAATGTTAAAAATTTTACCAGCATTTTAAGACTGAAAGCTTTGAGGATGAAATTAAATAAAGCGTTTTAATTACACCTGCACATAATGTTAAAGAATAAAGAAGACCTAATCGCCAGTTAGCAATTCTTTCATGGCATCTATAACAAGCTAGGTATTACCAAACCTCTTCCTTCCCTCTCCTCTGTTTCAGCACACACAGATGTTCAGCCTTAGAATGGTTAGCGGAAAGGCAGATAAAGGTTAGGAAAATGGAATGAAATTCCACACAAATAAACAAAATCAAGTACAAAAGATATGGCAGAAGTTATTTGTAAGACTAAGTTGTAGCAATCTGAACTAGTCAAACATCAAAAAAGTGGCCATGAGAATGGCAGAGAGGTAATCATTCAGTAGAAGGACAGTTTAACGTGCAAGAGGCTACAGGACTCGGGAAATTAAGAAAAATGTAAATTGAAATAATTGGCAAGTGATGGAATTCAAAGACTACACCCATATTACAGCAACTAGAAAGCACAGAAAAATCAGTCATCATTTGGAATTAAAGAATCCAATGCAAAATGACAGAAAAGATAGCACTACAATAGTCAAAACAGGATATTATAAAAATCTAAAGCAGATATTTTGTTGCAAAGATGCCAAGATGAAAAGGCCATAACACTTAAAAGTGACGTTGATGCACGTGGGAAGAGAAAAATAACAAAAAAACCAAAGAAAGCAACAAGAAGTTCAGGTTCAGCCAGTCACAAGGCCATGGCATGTAATTATTGCATTCAGACACATGCCAAATGTGTAGGATGTCACATGGGATGATTTGGAGAAGGATGCCAAGTAACAGAAGGAAAGGCTTGCAGAACAAATGAGAAAACTTAGCAATTTCTGAGAAAGTACTTAAAGAGAACAGAAGACAGAGAGGCTACTGCTTCACAGGAGCAGGAGAAAGATTTATTAGCACCCTGTTGAAGAGCAGGACTGGCATGCAGAGCGTTTAGCATTTAGGTGTGCGGTCTCGGTAGGGAGATATAGGAGCTGGCAGCAGGCTGTAGTGACAGCGGTTTGCAGGGTCTGCAAAAACAACTACAACCACCTCGGCCCGGGGGCTGCCCGCGCGGCCCGGGTCCCCGGTCCCCGGTCCCCTCAGGCCAGGGTCGCGGGTGACGGCCGGCCTCCTCAGAGGCGCCCGGGCCCACGCCACCCCTGAGGAAGGGCCCCCTGCCCGCGGCCTACCACACCGATCAGGGCTTTCCCCCGCACCCCCTTACTGTTCATCCTGCGCTCGCCTGCAGGTCTCGGGGTGAGCGAGAGAGCGGCCGGGCCCCCTCCCGACCGCCGAGCACCTCTCAGCCCAACCCTCAGCGCGCCATGTTGTATTCCCGTCACCCTGGCAACCGCGCAGGCTCCGGCTCC